CCCCACCCCCTTCCGCACTCATGCTCTCTCTCAAAAATAAACAAACATTAAAAGAAAGAAAAAGAACATGAGACAGTAATTTTCTCAATTCCCTTGATTTCTTTTATATTTTTATGGTAAATTAGCCACTTGAAGTATGTATCAAAAACCTACTTTTAAAAATAAAGGTAAAACTTACAGTTTAGACTTTGTGCTATTTAGTAAGTCGTCTTCATCACTAAAGTCATCATCTTTATTTCTGTCAAGGTCTGATGGTTCTTCACTTTTTTCATCTTCTTCCCCCTCTTCTTCCTCAGTGGCAACCTCACTTGCCTTGTCTCCCTCATCCAGGTAAAAATGTTTATCAGTACTCAGTCCAGGAGTTGTGTCGATTACAAACAATGGGTTGTCACAAGACATATTTTCTGAGTCTCCATTTAATGACTCCTTTTGACCATTATTTTCAACAAAACACACAGTGTCCTCTTCATTCTCACTGTTTTCAGACTGCTGGCTCTCATCACTGCTGAGCACTAATAAAACAGAATCACCTTTATCCAGAGATGTGTTGAGCTCAGACTTGAACAGTTTGGTTTCGCTCTCAAAATCTATACCCCTTTCGTCATTCATGTCTTCACGGATACCTTTGACCGTGCACTCTTCTTCTTCATCACTACCACCACCAAATTCTGTCAGGTCACTTGTTTTTTTGGTGTTCTTTCTCTCTTCATTCCATCTGTCCACTTCTACCACTGCAAATGTCTGAGCTAACGATTTCATTATAGCCTGACAGTTCACACGTGAGGACTCTGATGTAGTTTTGTTATTTTGGGGGGTTGACTGCCTCTGAGAAACTAACTGCTGAATGTCAGTGTCCTGAGGTTCAGAAAGGCTCTCCAACTGAGAATTTTTCTCATTTCTTTCTTTCTCCTCCTCTACCATTCCTTTGGATTCTTCATCTAAATTCTTACAATTCTGTTTTGTTACTTCTTTGAGAGGTACAACACTGGCCTGTTTTTCCTCTCTTCGATTATAATGTTGACGTTTTTGCACTGCCTTTTTTCCCCCTGAATTTCTGTGGAAGGAATCATCAAAGTCATTATAAGTTTCATTACTATAGAAATTTGGCTTATTTATCTGAGAAAGAGATCTTGCAAGTAAACAAGCTGTTTGTCTGGTATCTGAATCCTCTGAATTCGTTGGCAAATTTATGATCTGCTTTTCAGTTTCTGGTACAACGTTAGTATATTTCTCCTCAGTTTGTGACTGTAATTTCTTCTGCATACTTCTTGTTGTCCTCATAGTTGTAACTTCAGAAAATGAAGAAATGTCTGAGTATGATGATTCAGCATCAGAAATAATTTCTGCATATAATTCTTGGTTTGGCTCACTTAGGGATTTAGCCTTACTTCTTCTAGTTCTTGTAGTTATTAATGTGGGCGGCACAATTCTAGAAATACCTGAGACATGTGATTCAGCTTCAGAGTCATCGTCTTCTTCAGCATGAGACTGATTTATTGGAGTTATTTTCAGCCTTTTCCTAACACTAGACACGGGGGTGCATGCAACCAAGATCTGCCGTCTCCTAGTTACTCTTAAGATGGGATCCTGGAGCTCAGACACAGAAGAACAATCTGACTCTACCTCAGAGGTCTCTCCATCAGTATACGGCTTGTTTATCTCTGGTAATGAGACTGTAGTTCCACTCTTCCTCTTTCTGCTTTTAGGAGTTCTAGGGACTGGACTTTGTTTCCTAGTGGTTTGTGATTCAGCAGTAGTTGGGTCAACAGGTGGAGATTCTTTCCTGCTTTTTGGATGTGCCTGAATTCTTTTAGCAGAATTCTGGAAGTCAGAACAAATACACTGTCATTTAGGTAGGGCTGGAATTAGGGCAAAGCGAGTGAAATACTCCTCTCAGGAGCAAATTTTAAGAGGGCACTAAAAAACTCCAGTGAGATTAATACAAAGACAACCACCACCACCCACGATTAAAGAAAAAAAAAAATCAACTTAAATACTGGATCTGCCCCTGCATTTGCAGGACCCTTCCTCATAACAACGAGTACCCATGATTTTAGAAAGTAAAAATAAAAAAACACATTGGATCTGACTTTACATTTGGAGGACCCTGCCTCAGTCTCCTCCCCAAGACCTAGATCTAACTTTAGGGAACAAAACAAGTAATTGAAAATTTTCTGCACTGAGTTATCAAATGCCAAATATGCTTGGTGGACCTGCATTCCGACACACACAGGAGAAGAGAGAAGGGAAATACTAACTCTGAGCACAGATGTGTTTAGGAACACACACACACACACACACACACCAGTGGAATCAGTCGCGTCCCTTACCTTCACGTACCTAAAGGAATTAACGCTCCATTCCCTTGGCCACACAATCAGACCAGCGGACCACTAGCGCCACTAACAGCCACCAGGCGGCGTCACTGAAGCTCTCCCCAACGCCGAAAGAAAGTGCTGAGGCCATTACCAGCTCCCCCACGTGAAAACGGTCACCTTCTTTTCGCCCTCATCAGACTCGTATTTGGTTGCCGAAATTAATCCTCCTTCGTACGGTGCTAACAGGTTAAAAGGCCGCAGCCGTGCACCTGCATTACGGAGGTGTACTGCCCGAAGCAAGTTACCTGACCTCTCTGTTCCCTGCTGAGGACTGCCTTAAAAGATCACAGCGAGGACCGAAGAGGTAGCTACGGGCTTGGCAACGGGCCTGAAACAGGGCAGCGTGCGACCGGCTCGGGCCCTTCCCGCCGCTCGTCCTCACGCTGCTCCGCCGGGCCTGCGCGCCGCCCTACCACCCAAGCGCCGTTCTGCGAAGCGGCGGGCAGAAATGACGGCACGCTGCGACCCCTACCTTCTGCTGGGAGTTTTCAGCCAACGTGGCTTGGATCGTGGCCTGAGGCCGTCCGGACCTGGTTACCACCATCTTCCCTGCTCGCGGCCACCTCGGTTCCGGCGCCCCGGAAGTGCGTCAAAGAAGCGACTTGCTAGCCTTTCCCGCGAGGATTCCGGCACTAGCGAGACTCTCGTGCCAGTCTCCGGCCCACGGACCTAGGGATTCCCAAGGCCACGGCTTCTAGCGTTCGCTGCGGTGTTTGCTGTGGAGGACTGATCCACCGGCCTTCTGCGGGGAGTGACCTTCGGGGCGGCGGCGGAACCCGCAGTGACCGAGGGCCCCGCGCCAGTTTCACACAAAACTGGAAAATTGCATCTTCTTTCCAACTTCATCCATCCTCTTATTTGGCAGTTCTAAAGGTCTTAATGTAGTCATGGGTGTGACCGAAGGAATCATTTGCATTGTTTATACTACCTTTTTTTTTCAACATCCTGCCCTTATTCGTACAGTTAAATATTAATAACATTGAAAGACTCTTTGAGGTAAAGATGTATTTGTTAAATGTCTCAGAAACTCGGAGACTAGTTAGGAAGCTGTGTGATCTAAAGGTGGGATGGTAACTAGTGATCGGAAATAAGCAGAAAAGAAGAAATGTAAATTGTAAAGGAGAGTGATCATTTTGTTTTGTTTTTGTTGCAGTGAAGGGAATGACCAGAATCAAAAGGCGTTTCATTTTCTTTTAGGATGAAGGATGGAGACCTAGAATATATCTGAGGAGAATGGAAAAGGATTGAAGTAGGTAAACGGATATTGGAAGTGAGAAAGGATGAATGCCTCATCAAATCTATTCTTTACTGTTTTTAAGAGAAAACTAATTTCTCTTACTGTCACAAAACATACTTAAGTGGGCACATTGCCATCTAGCTAAATAGGTCCTTTCGGTAGCTTCCCTTGCAGCCAAATGTGGCTAATTACATACAAATTAAGGGTTGTGTAGTTATTTAGGGACTACATGAAAAGTAGGGATTTTTCATATAGGGACTATATGAAAAGAGAGGAGGTCCTCCCTGCCTTCTTTAATTGATTTTTCTCCCTGGAAAGCTATATTCTCAGGTTTCATGCAGCAAGTTTGTGCCATGAGGATAAAGCCAAACTTTAGGGATGGCAGAGCAGTGAGAAAGAAAAAGTGAGTCCCTGACAACTGATGGAGCTGCCATTTCAGTCCTAAACAGCCTACTTCTAGATCTGTTTCACCTGAGAGAAATACCGGTGTTTTTATTTTTTTTCCTTTTCAAGTTTTTATTTAAATCCCAGTTAACATACAGTGTAATACTAGTTTCTGGTGTAGAACTTAGTGACTCATCACTTAAACTGTCATCTGGAGATTTTCTGTTACTTGCAGCTGAGCCTAATCCCTACTGAAGAAGAGAATAAAAAATAGAAATGGAGGAGTTAGTCACAAAAGAATGCTCCTTCCTTTGAGGCAGGAGGGAAGAGTTGATATCAAGCACAGAGAGAATGTGAATGCAAGGAAATTAAAGGGGAGGAAAGAAGAGGGGCTTTTGGATGGATAACCTCACTCTTCTCTGTAAGTAGAAGATTCATCTACTTAGAGGAATGGAAAAGGTTTAGACTGACCCTTACGGGGAATGTGGTAAAACAAAGGAGGAATTTTAGTATGGCCAAGTAGCAATGAGACTATTTAAGGAAGAACATAAAAGAAAACAGGCTAGATTTAAAGACAAGATAGAATGCTGTAGAGGAAGGAAAACGAACCTATTGGAGGTGGGTAGTGGAGATCAAAAGCATGGAGGACAAAGTGTCAATTATAGTAATAGCAATGAGCTCGAATTTGCTGGGTACTAAGTGCTTTACATGCATTAACTGTACAACTTTAACACGAACAAATTCATGAAAATAGCAATTAAGATCATAGGAGTGGGTATAGAAAATTGGGAAGTATTAGAAAATCAATGTGTAATGTTCACTTGTAAGTATAGCCCCTTTAAAGTAAAACAAATAGGGGCACCTGGGTGGCTCAGTTGGTTAAACAACTGACTTTGGCTCAGGTCATGATCTCACTGCTTATGAGTTGGAGCCCTGCTTCGGGCTCTGTGCTGACAGTTCAGAGACTGGAGCCTGCTTCGGATCCTGTGTGTGTCTCTCTCTCTCTCAAAAATAAATAAAACATTAAAAAAAAAAAAAGTAAAACAAATAAAACCCCCAAACATTACAATCTTAACAAGCTCAAGAAACAAAATGCAAAAATTAAAATGGCAGTACATATTCATAATCTGAGAAGACTGAGCTGGTCTACTATAAAAGTCTGCTGATAATAGGCAAAACTGTGATGTGTTCCGTTTTTATGTGGGCTAATCAGGTCTGCCATGTTTCTATTTCTACCTTTATTGCCTACCCTCTTTATCCAAGGTAGATTTAGGGCCAATCCAGTATACCCAATTTTAGTTAGATATAGTATGAAAATACAGTAGTTATCACTCAGGCTCAAAGGGAAATTCTCCCTTGATAATATTTTACTAATTAAACCTTTAAACTGAAGGTTTGAATCTTTCCCTGGAACTTCAAGCATTAACCAAAAGATGGGGGTTTTAGTTCATGAGCCTTCTAAAACTAAATACTATTTGTAACCATTCTGTATTAAATAATATAAAACACTAAAGTTTGGCTTGTAAGATGGTCCCCAATGGTCCAGTCTCCAAGTTTCAAACCTTTGAATGTGGACTGGACTTAACAATGAAAGGAATGACAAGTGATACATATCTATTTTATGATTAGATTACAAAAAAAAGCTGGCTTCCATCTTGCAGTCTCACTTGTTCATTTTGTGGGAAGCCAGTTGCTTGTTATGAGCTGCCCTTTGGAGACACCATGTGGCAAGGAAGTGAGGGAGGCCTCTTGGCCTATAGCCAACCAGGAACTCATTCCAGCCAACAACCATATGAGCAAGCTTGGAAGTAGACCAACCTCAATCAAGTATATAGATGAGTCTGTAATTCCAGTTTATGCTTTTTTTTTAAATGTTTATTTTTGAGAGGGAGACAGAGTGGAGTGGGGGAAGGGCAGAGAAAGAGAGAGGGAGAACAGAATCTGAAACAGGCTCCAGGCTCTGAGCTGTCAGCACAGAGCCTGACATGGGGCTCAAACTTGGGAACAGTGAGATCGTGACCTAGGCCCAAGATGAACGCTTAAGCGACTGAGCCATCCAGGCACCCCCTGACACTTTTGATTGCAACCTTTTGTGACACTTTGAGGTACCCAGACACAGCAATAAATCAAAGTCACTATCGAATAATTCTGCTTTAAAATTTCAAGTAGGTGCTCTTTAATGTCTAGCTTCTTGCACTCAGCATGTGTCTGAGATTCATCTATGCTACTGTATGTAATTTTTATTGCTGAGGAGTATTCTATGATAATACAATTCATTTATCCATTCAGCTGTTGATAGCATTTGGGTGGCTTCCAGTTTTCAGCTATTATAAGTGCTATAAACATTTATGTCCTTTTTGGACATATGATTTTTCTTGAGTAAATACCTAGAAGAATAATTGCTGGGTCATATAGTAAGTGAACACTTAATTTTGTAAGAAATGTCAAGGTATTTTCCGTAGTGGCATACCATTTTACATTCCCACCAGCAATATCAGAGTTATGCTTGCTCCACATCTTTGTCAGTACTTGGTACTATCAGTCTTTTAAAATTTTAGATATTTTGTGTTTTAGTGACATCTCATTGTGGTTTTAAATTGTATATCCCTGATGTTAAGCATCTTTTAATGTTTTTTTTTAACGTTTATTTTGAGAGAGAGAGAGAGAGAGAGAATGCATGCACGCATGCACGCACTGGGGAGGGGCAGAGAGAGAGGGAGAGAGAATCCCAAGCAGGCTCTGCACTGTCAGCACAGAGCTCCATGTGGGGCTCAATCCCATGAAACACGAGATCATGACCTGAGCCGAAACCAAGAGTCAGATGCTTAAATGACTGAGCCACCCAGGTGCCTCTATTCATGTTATCTTTGGAGAAAAATCTAACATTTTGTCTGCTTTTCATTGGGTTATTGTGAAGTTATGAGTTCTTTATACAATCTGGATACAAGTACCTTACACATGATTTACAAATATTTTCTCATTCTGTGGGTTGTCTTTCTACTTTCTTGACAGTGTACTTTGAAGTGTAATTTTAAAATAATTTTATTATGTCCTATTTTTCCTCAGAAATATGTACTAGAAATATTTTCCCTGCCTGTATCTTGTATTTTCACTTTCTTAATGTCTTTTGAAGGATGTAAGATTTAAACTTTGATTAAATCCAGTTATCTGTTTTCTTTTGTGATTAAGTTTTATGTTATCAAAAAGTTTTGCAGCCAGCTTTAATTTCCTGCTTTGTTCTAATTCCAGTCATATCAAAGTAGGTTGAAATTTTCAACTAAAAATAAAAAAGAGACTAGAGAAAAAGACATTACTTTTAGGGACAGAAATCCAGATTTTCATCAGGAAGAGTATATATACTGGGAATCAGTGTAATATTGTCTTCACATTGCTCAGGGAAAGTATTTGGAAACTTAGAATTCTATAATGTCAAATGATCATTTAAGATTGAGAACTAAATTAAGATATTTTCAGACAAACGAGACCTGGAAAGTTTACTGCCCAATGACCTTCCAGGAAAGACTTACTAAGGACATAAGCAAGAAAAGTTGAAAGAATCAACAGTGAGGAAAGAAACAAGGAAAATAGAGTTAAAATAAGTAATGGACATTGTCAAACATGAACCTTTCTAAAATAATGGACCAACAGACACACAAAAATCTTGTATGACATTTTATACATTTATTCATTGTTGAGAGATACATATTAAAATTTTGTTTGACTTTTCTGGTAGTGAAACTACGTAACAGCCATATTCTGATCTATGTGGGGGATTTGGGCAAGTTTTAGCCTCTTGATTATAAAACATTACTTTTCCAACCTTACTCTTGTCTCAACAGAAGCCATTCCTTTTTATCTGTAAGGGCAAGCTCTCTAAGAAAGTGTTTTCACTGAGTTTCTAAAGTTTACATATAAATTGTTCATCATTCAATAAAAGCATATTTACAAATGAGGCAAACAAAGGCCTCTGCCAGAATGCCCACCTATCCTGTCATCCTACTCTAAGACTAATTTCTTCAGGGAGTCTCCTAGCAGTAGATATTCCCTAGCCCCACTTCCTTCCATATGCCCCCAATCCCTTTTCACCACTTCAGTCATTAACAGATGCAGCCTTTATTGCTTATTCATGTACAGATCTCTCTTCCCCGCCCCCGCCCCCCCAATATACTATATGCTCCTTGAAGACACAGGTTCTTTTTCATTTCTATGTTTATCTGCCAATACCTTACACAGTGGTTGGCATATAGTAGGCATTTGATAAATCATTGAATGAATGAATGCATGAATAGCTTTATGGCTTGGATACTTAAAAGCTATTCATAATTTTCAAATCATACTGTTTATGAATTCAAATAGGTCAAAATCAATATAATATTCTAGATGCTTACGCTATTCAACTCAGTTAAAAAATATACAACACACTTTATTAGGTAATTCATTAATACTCATAGGTGATATTAAAGACTATTATAAACGTTTATTAATGCTTTTATTTTGCCTGTATTTCATAATACACTACTACAGACACATAAAAGTAGAATTATCTAATGAAAACATTTTCCCCTAAGTGTATTTCTAATTCTGAAAACTATAAAAAATATTAGTGAAAATTATGTTACATAGTTTTCAAAAATAAAACTGACATATCCCATCATCAACTTTATGGGGGAAATGACAGGCAAAAGTTCTGGTACATTAGGAAGTTAACTTTAAAAAAGAGGTTCAGAATCATAAGTTGGTATATTTGCTTATGAAAACAAATGGTTTAAATTCTCCTTAAAACAACTTCAAATTTCTCTAAACATACAATTTGCAGAGAGATCAACTGTCGGCAAATATATAATAAACTATCAATCACTTACATTCCCCAATATTGAAAATGCTAGGTGGAAAAGTTGGAAAGAAATCTGTTAAAAAATGAGATGTAATTAAATGAGACTTAAGCCTTTATCATTGAAAACAAAGATCTTATTTCAGTTACTACTTGGCTCTGGTAGGGAAAAGTCTCAGCATTTATGCAAAATAGAGTAACTTTATTTTCTATTCCATACATAGCTGTTTAAGTGATCTTTGAGAACAGAAAAATCATTAGCTACTTGTGATTCAATCTAGCACCCGCCATCCCTAAATGGATACTCTAACTTGGATACCAGCACAATGTAGTCTTCAGAATTTACACAATGTGAACGTATTTTATAAGACACCTTGGTCCTTCTGGTGACTATAGTTTCTTGGATGGGAATTCAAGATAGACTCATCATAGAACAAATTCTAAGTTACAGTACATTGTGTTAAAGTAAGGCTCCAGTGTATTTTGGAAATGTAATAACAAGCTGTAGCTTCTTTTCATGTTTATGGGGAAAAAAAACCAATTATATAAATTCTTTCTATATTGAGTCATGGACACACCTCTCCTGAGAAAACGTATCTGTTATATACACTATTGATAACTTAGCTTTCAGCTTTAAGCAATTATTTGGTAGTATTACTGCTCTTTATTTTATGGCTTTTTAAACATTAAGTCCTTAAGTATTTGGAAAGTATTCACTATATTCTGATAGTTTATGAAAAAAAGATGCAAATATCAGCTTGGAAAATTGTAAAGCCTTAAAAAAAATCATTTTTTACAGGTTATTCAAAAACAGAAATTAAAGGTACAGAAGTGAAACAAAAAAATAATCTTAAAATTCCATATCTACCTGATCCCCTTCACAACATGAAACTATAATCTTGCTTCTTCATTGAGAGGGGGGAGAGAAGAACACACAAAAAAGCTCCTCTGACACTTGCATAAATCAGCAACATTAGTTTTTTTTTTTTTTTAATCTTCAAAATAACTCTTCAAACAATCCATTTCTGTAAGTCTAGGGTTTTTAAAAAAAAAATGTGATATTAAAGTTCCCTCTTAAAATACCTTGACCAATTCACTGTTTAGGCTTAAATTAAAATGAACATTTGTTTAAAAACTTAGGTTGTATGAAAAAAATGTACATTTCCAGGTTAAAAAAAAAAAGTTAACTATATACATTCAATAACATATACAATTACTAAAAAGGCTATATAAGGCTTTAGGAAGCTCTAAGTTTAAATGAGTTTTAGCAAGTAATTCAGCTGATTTCACATTATAATTCTAATGATGAAATTATCCAACCAGTAAACTATAAAACCTTGTTTAGAATAGGAAGAGTCTAGTGTATTTACTTTGAATATGAAACCATATTTTTTTTTTGTCTAAGTTGAAAAAACTTCGGCAAAATTAGTTTTATATCTTAATTTTTATAAACCATGTATTAGGACACATGGTTTAAAAGTACTGATTGAGATGAGATTTTTGAAGAAATTTTCAAACTATTTGGATGACAGACACAAATTTATAGAACTATGGAGACATAGAGTATATATCAGAGGTCATGGCTTATTTATTTGCTATTTTCTGGTTCTTAAACTAATGAGGAATTATAATAAATAATCTACAGCCTCTTCTAGTTCTAAAGTTTGTATTATACCATTTTGTTTTTTAAATAGTTAAGACTGCATCTCAAAAAAGTTGTCCAAAAAGACAATGTTGGCCCTGAATTAAAGATTTTTTTCACTCCTTTTCTGGCTTTTAGTACCTCCTAGCCAGTTATTAGTGGGGAGCAAATATTACCTATTTTACTCAACTGATTCTGAATGCTTATACCCCCCACTTCCCATAGCCCACAATGCCCAGTACATGGTAAACACTCAATACTTTTGAATATTCTTGAATGAGTAGCAAAATATTAAGGATGGACCAAGAATTAAAAAGAATCTGGAGATGATAACAGTTGCTTTTATAAAACCCCAAATAATAATTACAAAGCTTCTAGTCTCCTTTTTCAGATTTGCTTTGGTTTGTCTTGGAAATCATTGCAAGGAAAATATGGCACAAGAATACAAGGTTAAATCATTATAGGTAAATACAAGCAAGGACACATAAAGTTTAAGTTTTCATTCATGTATTGAAGAAATGAATTTTATTTACACTACTGTGGATCCCAGCTACTCCAGTTACTCTGGATATAATCATTAATAACAGAAAAAATATCTTCCAGTATTTCAATCTTAACAATTGTAATTGCTTAGTTATACTATAGAATAAGAAGCCTTTAATTAATTTTTGGAAATAAAAAATATGTATATACATTACCCTGATGCCTAGGCCCAAAATATATGCAACAACAAATTTTCTTGATTTCTATTAGTCATAAAAATAAAGGAAAAATATATTGCAAGTATTTTCTTTATAGGCAATTTCAATTAGAAAATAATAGTTTAATGAAAACAATACAGTGGTTCAGGTGAGTGAACTGATATGGAGGCAGAAGTATTCAAAACTTGACGGATAACATGTTGTCAAATATAACTGAAGAATAGCTGCCTCCATGACAGCATTTACAGGAAGTAACCAGATTTTTATACATCTCAATTTTATCTTATATTCAAGGAAACTACAAGTCAGTAAGTAGGTTATGATCCTAAGTCATAGTTAGGAACCCCTTCTTTTAGCTTGTAAGATGTAGCCTTTTGATTTGATAATTCCTCTACTTTTAACAATGACTGAATACCGCAGTAGCCACAGGGGCACCCACTCGTGTGCTTGAATGTCAGGGATGCTTTCCTGAAGAGCTTCTTGGAAACTGGCTTCAGAAAGCAGTTCTTAAAACAAACAAACAAATAAAAACCCAAAGTGTTAAATTTGAAAATAACAACACTTTACCATGTAGGTAAGCATTTAGATACAACAAAAGAAACACTTCAAAGAAATATAAAATATGAAGAATATAAAATATGCTTTTCCTTAATGTATGCTATGAATCTGAACCAGAATATCAGGAAGAGCCAGGCAGTTCTTTAAGGTATCTACACCTGTACCCCGGCCTATTTAATTCATAACTTCTGATGAGTGGAGCCTGCATAGTTGTTTTGGTTTTTGTTGTTGTTGTTTTGTTTTGTTTTTGAAGATTTCCAGGCGATTCTAATGTAGAGCCAGTGAAAATACAGGAAAGTTACATACAACGATGAAAAAGGAAAGTTATCAATAATCCTATCAACTGGAGACAGATCATTTCCACTGCCATGTATTTCCTTCCAACTTTTTTTCTGCATCTATTTTCCGTATCTTAAAAATCATAACTGTAGTTACAACCTAATTTATTTTTTCAACTTATATTATGAATCTTTCCATGTAATTATTCTTTGGATGCATCACTTTTTTTTTTAATGTTTATTTTTGAGAAAGAGAGACACAGGTGAGTGGGAGAGGGGCAGACAAAGGGGAAGACACAGAATCCATGCTCCAGTCTCTGAGCTGTCAGCACAGAGCTGACGTAGGGCTCAAACCCACAAACTGTGAGATCATGACCTGAGCCGAAGTCAGACGCTTATCTGACTGAGCCACCCAGGCGCCCTGAAGTATCACTTTTAATAATTACCCAGATACTACATTATCTAGATCTCATAATTTATACATTTCCTCATTGTTAACCAAAAAAATTAAATTTTTCCTAGTATTTTGCTAATAAAAATAATGCTATGCTGAACATCTTTAAAATGCATGCCCAGGGGCGCCTGGGTGGCGCAGTCGGTTGAGCGTCCGACTTCAGCCAGGTCACGATCTCGCGGTCCGGGAGTTCGAGCCCCGCGTCGGGCTCTGGGCTCGGAGCCTGGAGCCTGTTTCCGATTCTGTGTCTCCCTCTCTCTCTGCCCCTCCCCCGTTCATGCTCTGTCTCTCTCTGTCCCAAAAATAAATAAACGTTGAAAAAAAAAAATTTAAAATGCATGCCTGGCTATGGAATAACAAAGCCAAAGTACAAGTACATTTTGAAAGCTTGATCTATAGGATACTCTGAGTTGCTTTCCAGATGGGCTGTACTTTACACTTCCACTAGCAGTTGATAATGTCAGAATGCCAATCTTACAATATTCTCTCGGGCACCAGTGATCATTTAAAAACTCTTTGGCATCTCTTGGATAAAGTAATTATTTTCTGATTCTACATTTACATCCTGCTCTGATGTACTACTCTCTTTCTCACTGCCTCTTCTCCAGCCACACTGGCCTTGAAATCCTCAAGCACATTCACACTTTTGAATCAGTTGATTACTCTTTCCTGAATCCTCTTCCTCCAGATTCCCACAGGTTCTCTCCCTTCTTGCAGGTCTCTGATTAATGTCACCTTAGCAGAGAGGTCTCCCTGACTACCCCATATAAAACAACAATCCCTAACCTGGGCACTCTTTTCTCCTTCAGTCAACTTTTCTCCATAGCATGTACCACCATTTATCACATTTAACATTTATCTTATGGTCTGTCTCCTCCCATCATGAGTGTTGGAATTTATATGACTTGGTCCTATATCCCTAGTATTCTGAACACTGCCTGACACATAATAGGTACTCAAATGTCTGTTGAATCAACCAATCAATGTGAAAAGTTTCTACTAGGGTCAGAACCAACCACACAGATAGGGATTAAGTTACCATCTAGACTGTATGATTTGGGAGCGCTAAAGGACGCACTTGCCCCAAAAGAACTGCTGTGATATTTGAATAATGTCAATAGTAAACTCTCAGTAAATGTTTGCTATTATCATGTGCTAGGCACTTTTCTGAGTACATGTATTAGCTCATTTAATCCACATGTTAACCCTATAAAATAGATATATTCTCCCCTTTTCCAGGGGGAAACTGAGGCAGAGAGGTTAGATAACTTGGCTATGCAGCCTAGTAAAGTGTAGCTTTCATAAATGGAAGGCAAATGTCTCTTTGGGAAAGTAACATGAACATGGATTTGCTTATCAGACCATCTGACAGAGAAGAGGATTCTGGAGGAAATGAGACATAAAGCAGATCAGACTTAATGGGAGTGAGGGGAGGGTGAAACAAATGAAAACGGGAAGGTTCTGAGTCAGGATCACCCACTTCACAGTTTCACCCTGACTGTAGCTGAACTGTTACCACAACTTCTAGGGCAAAGAGTAATGGAAAATAAACACTTTCTGAAGAACAGGGTAATTTTAGAACAGAGGAAGGGCTTTAGAGGGGACTTAAAAACAAAACTCTATTTTAGATGACAAGTAGAGTTAAATGTTTTACAACTTGAGTGCTTAAAAAATAAAATGTGACACACCTAATCAGAGAGCTATGCTATTATTCATCAACTTAACTACATACTTTTACATTAACCATGCGAGCTCTTTAGAATCAGTAAACACAATTAATCTTTTAAGAAAAGAATTGCTTCATTATAGATCAAAGTGAAGATTCACTAATGGTATATGCAGAATCAGCCTATAAATTCTAATCAAAGGGTTTAGAAGTAAAATTAGAAAGACATCCAAGTGTCAAGTTATGTCAGTAAAACAAAATAATATCAAAAAAGGATTAAATCTCTCTTCTCATATATATATGCAATTTATTTCACCATAACAACCTGCATTAGCACATAATCCACATGCCAACATTTAGATAACATGGAAATAAAATACCAGACACCTTAGTCTTTTCCTATTTTCTTTCCTACTGGAAGAAGGAAAGAGTTTTTTTCAAGTGGAGCTAGAATGGGCTGCAGGCTCATCCATCAGCGGTTGGTAATAATTACTGTTGGAAAAGCCCCCCTCCTCCTCACCCCCACCAAATAAATAGATAAGTGATATAATATCTACTAACATATGGAAAGTTGGAATTTAAAGTTGGGTTTATGTTTCAGAACAAATCAGCATAGAAATTCTTTGTTAGATTTTCAACTAAAATGACTTTTTAAAAAATGAATCTAATTACTTATGAAAGTAATTACTAAAGGGAGAGGCAAAAGTCATTATCTCCTATTCTGGTATCATTTAAATGAAAACTGACAAGAAAGTAAGGTTTTCAGGCTGAAATACCACAACGCTACCATCTCAAATCAAAAAGATAGTATAGCATAGGGAGAAAGGCTCCAAATTCAGCCAGGACCAAGTCCAAGTTTAAACTCTGTTCCATGCCAGCTGGGTGGCCTTGGCTACTTTCTTAATTCTGAGGCTTACCAATAAAATGTCTAGTTTCAGCTGTTGTGAGGATTACAGATCATCTCTCAAAGGCATTTAGCATGATACCTAGTATCTAATGAACTGTAACTATTAAAACTCCTCCTCTTCATACAAAACAGTGAAAAAATGAAAATGTGGCAGACTGCTAATAAATAGCGTAACATCTTAAGGGGGTATACATGAGCACACTAACTGAATCCAACCACCAGTATAAAGCCATCTTTTTAGACATGGAAGTAAAAGCTAAATATTTTTTCTCCAAGAATCACCTAGAAAATGTAATTTCTTCCAGTATTTATTAAACTAAAACCTCTATAAAAATGTCATAGGTACCTGGGTAGCTCAGTTGGATGAGCGTCCCACTCTTGATCTCAGCTCAGGTCTTGATCTCAGGGTCATGAGTTCAAGACCCACACTGGATTCCACACTGGTGTGGAGCCTACTTTGGGGGGTAAAAAAGGCCAAATCTCTGGGGCGCCTGCGTGGCTCAGTTAGTTAAGTGTCCGACTCTTAATTTCAGTTCAGGTCATGATCTCAGGTTTGTAAAATAGAGCCCTGCATTGGGCTCTGTGCTGAGCATGGAGCCTGCTTAGGATTCTCTATTCCTCACTCTCTGCCCATGTCCTGCTCACGCTCACTCTCTCCCTCTCTCTCTCAAAATAAATTAAAATTTAAAAAAATGTCTTAGGGATTTAAAACTTTCACAAGACATTTCTCACTTAGAACTATACCAAAAACACTGTTTCATTTTTTTCAGTGAAAAAATAAGAATGGAGCAGACTGCTAAATAAATAAGTATAAAGTATAAAACATTCCCTTCCCAGTTTCCCTACTTATCCTGTAAAATGTTAATAAAAATTATTCTACAGAAGGCAGAGAAGCCATTCTCAATAATCAAATGTTTCTGATCAACACAAAACATATGTCTTGATAGTAATGATTAATAAAATACCTAATCAATTACCTATCCTAAGATGCTTAAATTTTAAATTAAATTTTACCTGCCTCTCTTTCTAGATATTTATCCCCTTTAAGTGGCTATTCGGTACAATTTTTGCTGTACTATACAAGATTTTATATGATACTATTTAAAATATCCTAAAAGATCCTTAATATTTATAAACTTCAACAGACTGGATATTCAGGAAATGATCCCATTAATTTTTTTCCCATTGATATAAAGACAAAATAAAGGCATATGTATTTTGAACTAACCATTAAGAGAAGTTCTAGGTAACATTTATCACTGTACAAAATTAAAAATTAAATTTTAACAAGTAGCTTCTTGTAAGATAAAACCTCATGATCAATAAAGAAATGAAAATCTCAATCTTACCTTTTGGATCATTATGAGTCAATAGCTGTATGTCAAATTGTTTAGCAAATGCAGTCAAATCAGGTGGCATCACACAGCAAGAGGCAAGATTAACTTGGTTACTATTTGGTTTTACCTAAAGTGAAGAAAATCATGACATTGCCACTAAATTAAGTACTACAAAAAGTGGAAAGCAATAAAAGGACACAACTTTAGAAAATATGAAATATTGCATGTATAATGCTTACAGTTTACAAAATACTTTAAATGAATATATTTATTAACATATGTTTTTCTAACTCATGTTAGTGGTAACAGGGAAAGGAAAGAACTCCAGGTGGTAGCCAATGTAGTGCTACACTACTAGAAACTCTCCCGCTAGTACCTGCAACCTAGTACACCTGTCTCAGAAATAAACATGATTCTGGGGCGCCTGGGTGGCTCAGTCGGTTGAGCGTCCGACTTCAGCTCAGGTCACGATCTCACGGTTCGGGAGTTCGAGCCCCGCGTCGGGCTCTGGGCTGATGGCTCAGAGCCTGGAGCCTGCTTCTGATTCTGTGTCTCCCTCTCTCTCTGCCCCTCCCCCATTCATGCTCTGTCTCTGTCTCAAAAATAAACATTAAAAAAA